TGGCTGAACAATCTAGATATCGACTTGTGATGCACAGAAAAGAAGACGACTTGTGTGTAAAGTTATATGTGTATGTCTTTTCAGGATCAGAGCCACCTTCTTTTCTTATAAGTCAGTCTCTCAAGCCTTTACATGTCTGAATTACTTTTGTGAGACGCCATCAAATGTTTCACTACAATCAAAACATTACAACTACGGCATTCCATTCATCCACAATTTATGGATAGTTTGATCAAAAAAACATGTATTTATCTGACAGATTCTTTTTTAAAACCCAAGCACTTTATTCTACCTAGTTACCTTACAGAATTCCCTCCAAATATCTGTTCCATTATTGAAGACTGTTGCACAAGGGTTGTTTTATAAAATATACTATAATATGTGGTAACTCACTGTAGTTTTCTATCTTTTTATAAGAAGAATGGTCTACCACAGCTTATAAAAATTGAAATTTTTTTAGAGCAGTTCTAATAACATTTGGTGCATGCACGCAAAGTACTATGATTTCATTCTTGTTCACTTCAAATGGATTAGAAAATATCATCCAAACTGGGTACCATGCCAAGACTGCCATTACCTCTTTCCCCTGAAATTTGATTAAGGACCTTAACAGGCATTCAGTAATTAAGTGAAGTGCTTTGGAAATTTATATGCTGTCCACAATTTGTCATGTTCTGAGAAAAACTGAAGACAATTTTGATGAAAAACAATAAAAATAAAGCACTTGAGAAATATCTGGGACTATTAGCTGATTCTGGCTATGGTTTCATTTTTAATAGGGTATCTTAGATTTGTAAAATTAATATTGTTCAATTGATTTTTTCAATTTTAGTACTTTAGGTTAATGAATAATTGACTTTATTAATGAAGCAATTAATTTAATTCTGTATCCCTTTACAATGTCCATGTTGCTTCATTTTCAGAATGGAGCTGGTTATTTTTTGCATAGCCCATTAGTGGGTATACTGTTCTATATTTAGTTACTAGTGTTTTAATGCAGCTGAATTTGCTGAAAAAATGGTATAAAGAGGATGTGAATACTGAACAGATTCTGAATGAGTAAATTTCCCTGTGGCATAGCAGCAGAACGTAATGTAGGCTTTTATTCTGATAATGTTCAATACACGAATGGCATAATGACACTTAAATTTGTTTTTAGCTCTGCTATACAGTAACACAGAAAAGGTTGGTCTGTTACTGCTGAGGTAACTGTTATGCACTGTGGCTAGTCATGTAGCATTAATAGCAATTTTTTCCTGCAAATCTCTTGTCCTCTATTCTCCAACTTCCTTTGGATGCTGAGTTTATTCAGAGGCATTACAGACTCACTTTAATTGTAAATAATAGAACTAGATCAGGTTTCAGAGTCATTATGTTTTTTTGGGGTGAATCTACATCTTCTGTCTAGAAAAAATATTCCTCTCAAAACCACAAACTAAATGCAGCAGAATCTAGTAGTATTATAGGGTGTCTGATTTTAATAGGGCAGTTATTACTGGTAACTCAAATATTTAAGGTTATTAAAATTTGCACTCTGTAGCCCTGACCCTGCAAACACATGCATGTGAATAGCTTTACTTTTGTGAACAGTGCCATTGAAATTAATGGGACCACTCATGTGAGTAAGGTTATGCATGTGGGTATGTATTTGTAGGATCGGGGCCCAGGTCATTTGTGGATGATGCTGTAAGTGCACATCTCCTTCCTATTTTCATAGTCAGACTTTACTGTAGTTTAAAATAATTCTTTAGTTACAAAGTAAACATGGTATTTCTACCACATGCCATCTCCAGCAATCCTCCACTGACAAGCTGTGCCTTCCTCCTGACGGAGACTGTCGGCAGTTCATCTTATTGACAGTGCACCAAGGTAATAAGCCACACTAATTCTGCTTAGGTGTCAGATGCCTTGCCACTGACAGAAAGACAAGTATGGTGGTTTCAGCTGTCTGGTCTTTGTTTTTCGTACCTTTTAGTTTTCATTGTCTTTTAGAGGAGTAAGAAGCAGTCTGTTCCTTTATTTAATTTACTCTTTAAAGTTCATTTTTTTTCTATCTCACTATCGTCCATCCTTACTACCATACTGATCTCCTATTAAAACAACTATAAACCGTTTTATTCACTTTAAGTTGCTTACAATTATTTTACAATCTATAGAACTGACTGAAATTTTCAAAATTTTGTTTTTTTTTTTACTCCCCCAATTTTTTTTCTTGAAAATGTTTGCAAAAATGTTCCCATTT